CCTGGCGGGCTCAGCTGGCCTGGTCCAACACCTCCGCTCGTTCTTCGCTACCTTCGGCGTACCGGAGGAGCTCTCGAGCGACGGTGGTCCGGAATTCAAGGCGAGCCACACTGAGGACTTCCTCCGCTTATGGCACGTCAAACACCGTGTGTCCTCCGTTAGCTTTCCGCAGTCGAATGGGAGGGCGGAAGTTGCGGTTAAGACTGCTAAGCGCCTCCTGATGTCCAACACCGGCCCGTCGGGCAGCCTTGATCAGGACCGCTTCCTGCGTGCTATGCTGCAGTTGCGGAACACGCCTGACCCCGACTGCAACCTCTCGCCGGCGCAGATCATCTTCGGCCGCCCCCTTCGTGGCTCGCTCTCCTTCGTGGCTCGCTCTCCTTCGTGAACCGCCTCGAGAAGTTCTCGAACCCGCATATCCGCCCGCTATGGCGCGAGGCATGGGCGGCGAAGGAGGACGCCCTTCGGACCCGTATGTCCCGTACCACCGAGTCTCTGGGGACTCACTCAAGACCGCTCCGCCCATTGGCACTCGGCGAAAGGGTATTCCTCCAGAACCAGCAAGGCCCGAGCCCCCGCAAATGGGACAGGTCAGGGATCGTGGTGGAGTCGCTGGACCATGACCAGTATCGGATCAGGGTTGACGGTTCGGGACGTCTGACACTGCGCAACCGGCGGTTCCTCCGTGCCTACACGCCGGCCACACCCTGCGCCCATGAGCAGTCGGCCACGCCGTCGCCGCCGCCCGCTGCCCTGGGACATCAGCCCCCACCTATCCGCCCGGGCTGGGCGACGCCCCAGGGGCTTGCTCAGCGGCCGGCTGATGGTCCCCGCGACTCGGCTATGGGCGCTTCCCCACCGGCGCTTGCTGATGAGGCGTCCTCTGACCTCGCCGTTCCTACGGGTGCCTTCCTGGGCGCACCGCTCCTGGTGCCGCAGTCGCCACCGGCGCTGCCCCAGCCCACTCGGCCCCAGCCCACTCGGCCGGGCCGTGTGAGGAAGCCGCCGGCACGATACGAGCCCGAGTCCGGCAGCTGGATACGGGATTTAGACCGTTAATCTATTCCAGCCTATAGCTTTCCGGTCTGGGGGGGATGAAGAGTTTATCGCCGGCCACTAGAGGGCAGCGTGTCACTGCTGTCGCACAGGATATGCCGTGCTCTGACCCAGTAGAACTGAGCAGCCATTTTAGTTCAAACATTGTTCATTCACTCCGCCTCGTGTCGAGACGTTCATCCACTCACACATGTAAGACTGTTCCCACTATTGTTGGTGTATATATACGTGGTGTCGTAGCATATATTTGTGTTGTGTTAATGATGACATGCATGTATGTAATACTTTGTCAGCTTACCTCGCTGTATTACTCTGTTTCAGGGTGTCGTCATCTTTGTCATTAAAACACTGAAACTGACATTGAGGAGTGTGTTTCTTCAGGGACGGGTAATAACCGGAAAAGCATGACATGGGAGCTTTAACTAAATAAAATATACTGCTGTTTCTGGTTTAGTTTACGACGGATATATTTAGTTATTGTTTTGATATTTGTAACACAAAAGCGATGTAAAAAACGCACAGCAACACGGAAAATATGGTCTTAACATGACCCAGCGGTCTAGTAGTTAATAAAAAACAATAATATCAAAACAAAATATTACTACTAACTTTATTGTGAAATTAAAACCGAACGGTAAAAGAATAGTTTCCGGTCTATTCTGAGCCCGATCTCTGTAGATAAATAAAGAACTACGACAGATTTGTAATATTTAATGCAGCCGAACCATTTATTACAATGCATTCATGTGATGACTTTCAAAGAGTAAAGCAAGCACTGCTGAATAAAGTATGATTTTATCTTTTACGAAACGTTTTTTTTCATATGGAATGCAGTTGGAGGTCAACCAATCACAGAGCTTGAGAACTAATCACGGGGCTTGTCAAACAGAGCACATGGTGTAGTCCTAAACGATAGCTGGGGATTCTGGGTAGTGTAGTGTCTTCTGCCATCCTAAACTCCGAAAAAATATTTGTTTCTCCGAATCGAAGGGGAAAAACACAAAACCATTGCACACAATTTAAACCAATCAATGTTGTGTAATTAACAAGGATAATCTGGTGTTTTTTAGTTGATGAGTAGTGCAGATATCACTGTCAAATCAATCGACAGTAAGGGGAATACTTACTTCCGGGTGTACAATTCTCCGTTATCCAATGGGAATGGACGCTCACATTGCCTTTAAATTCCGCCAACACAAACGAATGCCGTGCTTCCATGAGCGTCAAATCCCGCCGCAGATGGGAATACATTGCAATCAGTTGAAAGCTATTTGCGTCCCTTTATGAAGCTGAAGGAGCCTAGGAGCGTCCCAACTGCACGCCTCGGGACCCTGACCAAGCGTCACTCCTGGACGTTTATGGAGTGAGAGTGTGTTGCATTCCCCCACACTACCATAAGAAGGCTGGCGGTTTACAGACATGTGGAGTCAGGACTTCTGGTTTGTGGAGGCCGGATCCAGATGTTTAATGAGGACAAGACTGCAATGGCACTGTTACCATTTGAAGCATGGGTGTCCACATTACTGGCACTAGAAGCCCACAAAGCAAATCATGAGGGAGTGGCAGGAACCCTTCTCAGGATGAGGAAAAAGGCCTGGGTGATAAAAGGTTGAATACTTGCAAAGAAGGCGGTCGACAGCTGTGTTACATGCAGGAAGATCAGAGCAAAACGGTGCCAACAGATCATGAGTGACCTTCCACCTGAGAGAGCGGGCCCGGCTAAGCCCTTTGAATGCACATCATTGGACCTGTTTGGCCCGTATGAAGTGAAAGATGCAGATCCTGCAGATTCTCCACATAGAAATGGAGCTGCAGAGGCTGCAGTCAAGATTGTAAAGCAGGCCCTGAACAACCTTGGAGGAGAAGGAGTCTTCACATGGGGTGAGTTCCAGACCTTTCTCTTCATGGCCGCTAACCTAGCAAATGAGAGACCCATAGATGCCAGGACTCAGAGCCGAGAGGGCCTTGTGGAGTACATCAGCCCAAATTCCCTCTTGCTAGGAAGAGCAAGTCATTCGGGGGACACAAGGGATTTCGAGTTTGAAGGCATACAAGAAGCTCAAAACTATCCAAACAGAGATCAGCAGGTTCTGGAGGAAATGGGGCCAGTTGGCCGGTCCAAATCTCTTTGTGAGAAGCAAGTGGCATACCAGGAATCGAAATGTCGCAGTGGGAGATGTGGTGTGGCTGGCTGACCAAAATGCCCTGAGAGGACATTACAAACTGGCAAGAGTGGTCAGTGTAAATACTGATGGAAAAGGCACCGTAAGGGATGTAAATGTGAGAACCTTTCCCAGCTACCCTGTCAAAGTTATGAAGCATGAAGTCTTTGGAGGGTACAAAGGACAGCCAAGCAAGATCCCTGCCACAATTCTTCATAGGGATGTCAGGCTTATTTCCTGTTGAAGAACAGGCGTGATTTGAAGGACTGGTGTGAGCTTCTTGGGTTAGTAACCAGGAGCTCAAGTGGGAGGTGTCTTATAAAATATAAGAAACTGGAATGAATTTACTTTGTTGAGATGAATTTACTTTTGACATGAAATGTTAAGTTTAATTATCACTTGATTTACATTTAAAACCATAGAGCAGAAATTAAAGTGCATGTTTAAGTATGGCATGATTTTCATTTAAAAAATGTATTTGCCTAAGTTAAAGGTAGGGTAGGTAAGTTTGAGAAACCGGCTCGATATACACTTTTTGTTATATTCCATGGAATGCTCTTAACATCCCGATAGCAATGAATATCTTAAGTGCTTTGACAAAAAATCCATAAAAAAATGTCATCTGTGGAAGCCGTAGTACTGTAAAAAGCACGACCAATCATTTTAGCCGGCCCGGCTAAAATAACTGGATGGCTACCTGCCTGTCAGCCTTCCATCTGTGCACAAACTTATCTCGTGCCCTCATTGGTCATGTGCGCATTCGTGTGTGTGTTGGAGGAGGGGCTCTATAAGGAAGTGGCAGATTTTCTCCGGTTGTGTATTTTCAAATTCTAGCGATCTCGGGCCGGTTTCTCAAACTTACCTACTCTACTTTAATGAAAGTGTGTTTTGTGTTTTTTAAAGGTTTTCAACCTAAAACGTCTAAATGATGCAATATGAAGCTAAAAGAACTCTACATGATCTCAAATAAAAAGAAAAGAGTCAAGATTTGAGTTGTCCCGTGTGTCCTTTTGGAGTGAACAGGCCATTTTCAAGTTTAGGCAGGAGTCAATCAACCAAACCCAATCAGAACTTGACAGCGACTAGGGAACATGGCGACGCGTGGAGTCAGGAAACCCCTGTTGGAAGTGTTTCACAAGCAGGTGTCTCCTGACGGTAAAGAGTTAGCAACTCTCAATTGCTGCCACAAACATCCCCAAGGCGGGCACAGCTTGACCTATGTCAAACAGACCCAACAGGAAAACCATATTCTGCCCTGCCCTCACAGCCAGTCTGCTAACATGCATCAATGCACCATATGCCCAGAACGTAGAGAGGGCTTGTGCGCATTAACATTTTGGAGACCCAAGCTTCTTCCCCTGTCTTAACTGCCAAACAACAAGGTGTTTGAAAAATGTCCCTTTATTTATTTAGCACCTTTCAACCAAAGTGCTTTCACAACACACTCCGGATTCCAACTTTGTAGGACACCAGCTGATCAGCTGGTGTGCAGGGATATTTATCTGCCCCTTTTCCAGCGGAAGCTGCCCACTAAAACACTTTTTTAATTAAAAAGTTTTAGCAAACATGCATGTGCTTGGTAAATAGTGTGCATACAACTGGATAAATAGGACATGGAATATACTGCAAGAATTGTAAAAGCTAAATCATTTTTTAATATGTATGATTGAATATGGGCGCAACGTGAAGAAAAATGTGCGCTACAGGAAGACACTGCCGCACCGCACACACGTTTCCATGGCGACAAGGAGGAGGGGGACGTGTTGTTACACCCACCGGAAACGGTCTCTGCAGTGCCAGCAGAAAATGAAAAGGAGTCCGACCTAATATCTCTTTGATTGCCTTTTTCATACAATATTCTGCATTTACGGGTTTTTAATGAATGCCACGGTCGTGCAGAAACAGTGTGGATGCACCCGGTGGCATGACAGGACTCCCGTGCGCGCGGTTTGATGAAGTAGTGCGCCGACTGTGTTGGACACACAGTGCCGGCCGAGAGTAGACTGTGGGTGAAGGCTCAGCGGTCCTGCCCCCTTCAATGACCAACCTGCAGCGCTAGCGATAAAAGCTTCGCTGCCGACACTGCAACCATGGAAGGCTACCACAAGTACCCTTAAGTAGTTTTACTGTCTCAGCCCGTAGTTAACGGTTTCAACATGCCCGACCGGCGGTGCTCCATGCGGCTCTCAGTGGCCTGATATTAACGATACAGGCCTGCTTTTTCCATCTGGAAATTTCTTGGCAGGGGAAAGCAGGCCGGCTAGCATCGCTAACGTTTGCCTTCTCCGCGCTGCAGCTCTGGGCTTCGACGGTGCAGAATTTTCCATGACCACACCATTGACATTGTTGTCTATCAATTCGAAGACTTTTTAACTCCAAAACATTTTTTATGGGATTCATATCGGCGAACGGGAAGCGGGCCTAAGCCAAAATGGTGAACTGGAGGCGGCTGCTGCGAATGTCCAACCGATCATTTCTGGCCTTCATATTCTTCTTCTCCATGTCCACCACTTGTCTCTACTTTATTTATGTGGCGCCGGGAATAGGTCAGTACACAGAGGTTTACACTAAACGCTTTACAGGGCATCAGTTAATGTGATTATGTCTGGATTATCGTTATCCTCCGCAGCCTAACACGCTCCAGCTGCTGTCTCAGCCCATGCTAACACCACTGGATGGATGCTAGCTAACGGGCTAACTATCCAGCTGCTTAAACATCCACCCCAGGCCATGATGCCCAGCTGGCCCTCGCTATTTTGCGATGTCAAAGAGCAAATTTCCTCTTTCAACGGCAAGCGGTAGAAATATTCTCTATATAGTGTCCCCTTGTGTTTGATATATGGATGATTTGAGCTTTAGCTAGCGTTGCAGTGTTGCCTTTTGAATTAATGAACCTTTGGCAACACTGCCAACGTCGGTGTTACACTCAGGTTGTGAACCCAGCATCCACACCGCCTGTCCGCTGAATGACATGTGTCAGTATTTCCCATCTCCACATGTCTGTAGTTGTGTTGACTATCCCGTTCAAATGACAGCGTTTACCACAGAGTATTGATTTAATGGTTAATTACACTTATTGGGCACTAATCTCTGCTCAATCTGCTCTTTTTACGTTGCACTAGTTTTATGTAAGACCACCCCATTAGCAATGTATTGACAATATAGTAATACAATGCACTCTTGATGTTTATCCAATCAGGTGGTCTCCTGACCTATCCCACTGCATTAAAAAGAAAAGTAAGGATAACTTTCTGTTTTATGAATCTTTACATGGATGCAGATGCTAGATGATGCTTGTAATACTTTGTGGGCTTGGCAGGTTTCAGTTTTAACATTTGGTGTGGTTAGCGGTTTGGTTGTTTTGCCTGATTCTGTTGACAGGAATTATATAATTATAGTGCAGACTTTTACTGGCAGTCACCGTCAGTCATGCTTTGAAAGAGAGGCAGTTCTTGGAAATTGAACTGAAGACATATGTCATGATTGTCGATGTGAAGAGATAACAAGACAAGACCGGGTGGTGTTGTGTTCTGTAGCAACGTAAAATCACAATACTAAATTTAGGCGGTGGGTATTAGCTTCTGTGGGAACTGGGTATTGTGATTTCCATGAATCAAGCAAGGCAAATATCATGTGTGAGAGGGATTTCCCCAGTTTTGTATTGGTGTTTATTGACCAAGGTGGATGCAACAAAACACATCTTCTCTTAGCTTTAATAAAGCTATATTGTTCATTGCCAATTACACCATATTGGAAATATATTCAACATGCTACTGAAGTACTGTTCCCACAAATACACAATCCCTGATGTGTTTTAACTCTTACACATCTACACTAATAGTAGGATCCATTGGGTTTTAAGATTTTACACTTTAGTTATTGCTTTAGAGGCCACAGGCTGCATCTCGTTCCAAATACGAAAAGCACAATGTTTACTGGTGTTTTGAGAAGAATTTCTATCACTATATATTTAGCCTTAGATGTATTACTGTACAACAGAAAAACTTGAGTGAAGTAACTGTGAGACAAACGCATCTCTTCACAAATATAAATAATTTACTGCTCCTCTGTGTAATGTTGAGACTGAGCATAACGCATGTTGTAAATCAATGACGAAGAGTACTGAAGCTGCAGGCTGGCCCTGGCACAGTACTTGTGGTGTGTTTTTTTTCTCATACATCTGCAGTTCATTGCTGTAGATAGTTACGGTCTAAGTAATGTTTGCAATTCACCAAGTTAAGAGGAGAATATGATCCTATAGTATCTGGCTTGAGCTATGTGTGAAGCAGCAGTGGTGTGAATGTTTGCTTTTTACAGAATGTGATGTCGCCTACTGTATGTTTCTGATAAAGTTAATGTGCTTGGGCTCTTCCTGGGTCATCCGGTAATGCTGTTTAGATTCCACCCTCTACTCAACATCCAGCTGAGATTACATTAGAGAACTCAGGACTAGGGCTGCTTAGTTTACCGACATGTTATCAAAATTGCAAAAATGACTAGTGCAAGATTCAAAATTGCAAATATATGTAAAAATATCTGAAGTATTGTGGTGCTGCAGAGAAATCCTAGCCTACAAATGGTATTATACAGATTTAATACAAAAATAGTTGAATCCTCTAAAATAAATTACATAATTATCATACCGTTAGATCTAACAAATCATATCGCAAAGGCAATATCAGTCAATATAATTGCAAGTAGTTATTTTTTCAATATTGTGCAGCCCAGTCATGCAGGACAGTCATTTCATGCTTTGCTTCTTCTGCCTTCCCTGTGACCAATTTTCAAGCACGGGAAGCGCAGAACATATTGATTTGAGTTACGCTTGGCACCAGATATAGAGGGAGTGTTTCGCTTTAAAAGCATTTTTAAACCCTAAACAGAGGATGATACTTTTTTTGGTATTGTGGCAAACTTTGTTTCTGTATCCAGCAGCTAAATGTCCGTCTTTGTACGGCGTGTTATTTTAACCCCGTCACCTGCTCATCAACCAATGGGGCCTGGATTATGTGATAAGACTCTTATCATCCCCGAACACTGTGCTGTTTACCGCTCACACACAAACTGAACTTAGTGTTCTGGCCAATAGGAAGACTGACACTAGGTGATCTAATGTGACGACGGTATAGAATGATGTTGTTAATGTGTTAAAATAAGTTTACCATGGTAGCTGTTCTTTTAAATGCTGTGCCTCTATAAGAACATTGTAGTTAATATTATAAATCAACCGGCAGATTTATGGTAATCTTAAAATGTTATGACAGCTACGGCTGCACTACTGATATTTTACAGAAATCACAATATGGACTAGTGTAGTCAAGTTATGCTCAAATATCTGAAGTAAGTATTTAGGTGCTGCAGAGAAATCCCAGCCTGTAAAAAGATCCTCTTAAAGAAATACTACATGATCATTTTAATATGTTTTTCATATAACATGAATAAAGTTTCAAAAATTACCATTCCATCTGAATAACCGCAATATGGGTTAAAATAATTGCAATTAGTTATTTTTCCAAACGGTGCAGCCCTGATGACAGCACTGTAGCGACTTTCATGTTATTTTCTCAATGGAATTATTGGAATATTATCATTATCATACTTTACCAAACTTAAAATGAATATAATTTAAATAATAGCTGCCTTCTTACCATCTTTTCTTTTCACTAAGTGCAAACCTTTTGACAAAATGGTATAATAAAATAATCGCCAGTAAAATATTGTAGAAAGATCATTGTGGTAACATTGATGTAAACCAAATGGACACATTTCAGAACCTTAATAGTGAATGTGTTTATACTGCCTTGAGTCAGTGTAGGCATTCATTTCAGTAAATAAGTAGGCAAGACAAACAAAAAAAGATAGAGTGGATTCTATAACTTGTGGGTTGCTGCTGTGTTGTGATAGGTAAGTGTTTTAACCTTCACATGGTTCACAAGTTATGTTGTAAAACAAGTTTTGTCATATAAAAGTTGTTGCAATATTGCTACACAAAGCAAACGTAGACAAATATTATAAGCCAAAGTAATTCCCACTTTTTTGTTTTTGTCTGTCCTTCAGCCAACACATATTTCTTCATGGTGCAGGCCCAGGGCATCATGTTGAGGGACAATGTGAGGACCATTGGCCAGATGATTCGATTGTACACTAACAAGAACAGTACACTCAACGGGACAGGTAAGTAAAGCATACATTTCACCATACGGCTGATTGTTTAGCAGTCTATCATCGCTACATTTAAGGAGTCTGCATGCAGTATATTAATTGAATTAACATTTCAAGTAGGTGGCTGACCAGATGGTGGAGTCTGTATCCATTTAAGTGAAATGTACCGAAGAGAATGGCCACACTGCCTACATGTATGCATTGTACATGAGATTAACAGCCTATGGAAAAGCTGCTGTTAATACTTCAAATATGTCATCACAACAACCATCGTCCAATGGTATGACTTATAAGTTGGCACATTTACAGTGACCATGTTAATGTTGTATTTATAGAGCACACTTCCTAGATACTCAAATTAGTTCAACCTTGTGCCTCACTAGGGACATTTTTGGCTTTTTTAAGTTTAAATCTTTTTGATCATTATGGCTTTGTTAATGTGTTCAAGTTCAGCGCCTGCTCGAAAGATGCTTGTGGGCAACCAGACAACAAAAATTAAACAAAAATGCATTGGTCATATTGTTATTCTAAACATCAGTATTGGCTAATACATTAGCCAATTGCCATTGGTTAATATTTTTTTAAGACAAGACTACTCAATGCTATCTGTACTCCAAACCGTGAAAACAGCCATTCCTCTCTATAAGTGTCACTCATGTTTCCACCTTCTGTTTTCAACGACAAGTCACATGCAAACAGGCTGGGGATCAAGTTAAGGATGAAGAAAACAACTCTTGAATTGTCTGTAGGTTCCTTTCCATCATTTTGTAGGTTTAAAATAACAATCTGAGATTGTCAGTGGAAAGAACGGGCACTTTAGGTGAAAAGTCATTGGCAGGGCAGGGCCTTTTATATAGGATTTCCTTGCAGGCTGTTAAGCGCTTCTGCTCCAGGCTGTAACAATTTCCTAAAAATGTTTTTCATTTGACACAATCATGAGAAATAGGGTCCATATTGAAGCCCTATCATCAGTCATTTGATGTCAATGATGTGGTTTGGAGTATTCTGCTGTTATACTAGATGTTGGTTGATTTTGCTGCAGACTATCCTGATGGCAGCAACTCCAGTGAATACCTGGTGCAGCCGACCACGTACCTCCCAGAGAACTTCACCTACGCCCAGAACCTGCCATGTCCAGAGCGATTACCTTCTATGAGTGAGTACAGACGTTTTACCTGACAGGAAAGGGTTGTCGCAGCTTCCTCCCTTTGTTTCCATTAAGCAAGTAGACGCTTTAAACAGACAGTTTTAATGCGTTATCTTTCATTTATTTGTTTTGACTTGTTTGACTTCCGATTGATATTTTGCGACCTGCATGTAGTCAAAAGAAAATGATAAACTTTTCACATGTTCAACAAAGAAAATTGGCCTTTTAAAATAGTCAAACAAATCAAAACAAAAGAGGCAAAACTCCCATAAAATAATAAACAACTTAGATCGTCTTTCTTCCTTTACTTTGTGTAGGATAATATTACTAAACGGTATAAAACTGTTTCTCAACTGTGTCTTTCGCACAGGTTGCCTATCTCTGTGTCTCTTAAGAGGCTTGCGCCGTGGGAAATGTAGTCTTTTATACTTCCATGACTACTGAGGTCACGATTCGGTGACAATATTTGACCTTTTTTACAAATCGAAAGACGGGCTCTAACATGTCGTTTCAGGAAAGCCATAATTTAAAATCTACTGCACTTCAAGCTTTGCTGCTTAATTGTTCTGTTAAAATACAACACAAATATAAAAGAAATGAGAATTAGCTAATAGCGGTCAGACCAATGAGCTAAGTAGCACAGGAACGAGAGAAAAACAAAGCCCTATGTTTTACTCTGTAGAAAGTTCTTATTTGTTTTAATGTGAAGCTGATTTATGTACCCCCCCCACACACACACACACACACACACACACACACAACTCTCTCCACAGAGGGCCTTATTGAAGTAAACATGACAGAGATCCCCATGGAGGAGATAGAACTGAGGTCCTCCAAGTATTTTGACATTGAGTTTGGAGGCCACTGGAAACCAAAAGACTGCAGACCTCGCTGGAAGGTAGGCATTTTAGAAGTGTATAAATAATATATATCCTTCAAACTTTTTTTAAAGCAGTGATGCAAATGAATTCCTCTAGGGGAAAAACAACAAGAAAGCAGATGAATTTAGTCGAAGGTTGGCTCTTATTTCTTACTCTAATATTTGCCTTTTAGGTGGCCATCCTGATTCCGTTTAGAAACCGTCATGAGCATCTCCCCATCCTCTTCCAACATCTTATCCCCATGCTGCAGAGACAGCGGCTGCAGTTTGCCTTCTACGTCATCGAACAGGTGTGTGGCCCGCACTGCATGCTGCTGTGTGAACACGTTGTGCATTACAAGACAGCTTTATTAACGTGTACTCAACTCATGGCTTGTAGAGTGGCAGCCAGCCCTTCAACAGAGCCATGCTGTTTAACGTGGGATTCCTGGAGGCCATGAAGGACTTGGACTGGGACTGCTTGATCTTCCATGACGTCGACCACATCCCCGAGAATGACCGAAACTACTACGGCTGCGGTCAGATGCCACGCCACTTTGCTGCCAAGCTGGACAAATACATGTACATGTGAGTGTGTCATCAGATATCTTTTAAGAACATAAACTGTTTGTCCTGCTTAAGTTAAGTATTGATTTCCTTCGGTGGCAATGACCAATAGATTTTAAAGTGTTTGGACAGGCTATGAACTATCCAGATCATGTTGATTTTAACACTTTGTTTGTTTTTGTTTCCAGTCTTCCATATAGCGAGTTCTTTGGTGGTGTCAGTGGACTCACTGTGGAGCAGTTTCGGAAGATTAATGGCTTTCCCAATGCATTCTGGGGCTGGGGAGGAGAGGATGACGACTTGTGGAACAGGTTAGTCTACAAACAAGGTTTTTACAAAGTAATCAGACCCCTTAATTTAGTTACACAGCAGTGCTTGTGTTCTTGTTTTGTCATCGGACTGCTTTTCTCTTCTGTGCTTTTCACATAAAGAGAAACACAACGGTGATCTGTAATAAGGGGTGTATTGAGACAGAAAACATACAGCATGCAGAGACCTACCTTAAGTCCGTTAGTGTGGATTTTGATGCGCTAACCAAAGTCCGGCCAAGCATACAGTTTTTGTTGGAACCACAAATCTATTATGACATGATGCGTGGCACTAAAACACTCCCCTCGGTCCTCAGGAAAGCTTAGATGTTAAGTCTTTCCGTCCAGAGGTTTGATAGATAATCGAAACTCGGTATCGCTCACATTACACACACAGGCAACCATCGTCGTAGGATGACAAATACCTTGCGGACCAAGAGGCTAATTGTTTTAGCATCTTCCATCTACATTTATCAAACGAAATGATCTGCAAAGGATCTTCCCCCCAAAATACAAATATGAACCTGAAAATGAGCTGAATATGTTCTCTTGCCTTAGAAAGTGGCACCATGTTTCCGAGAAAATACTTTAAAGGTAACGTATTTACTCCGTAATTATGGTTGCCATTTTAAGCATTAATCAACCTTAAGCCAAGAAAAGAGCTGTAAGCTGTTTTGCCATGGTTGAGACAATTGGAAGTCTTGTGATGCAGCTTCATCAATCCTCTCTTTTCTAAATAATATTAGGAGAAAGATGTTTGCAGCAGTGTGTGTGCAGCATCTTTGGTGCAGGACCATAGCAGAAATGTGGTTCACTTTATGATACACTTCTGGTGTTCTTCTTTTCTTTTGAAAGTACAACAGCAGACCCTGACAAAGGCTCCCTGTGGTGTCCATGGTTACTACTGAAGGTATCTGCACAGTACCATAGTTAACCTTGTGTAGATATCTCCAGAGGAGTAGATGATACCTTTTTAGATACCAGTTGTAATTTATTCACCCATATAGGCAGCATGAATGTCTTTGTGGTAAAAGACCTGGACCTGTGTTTATCAAGTGTCTCTCTTCCCAGTAATCCTGCTGAGAGTTCAGCTGGGACTTCTGACAGCTGAGAGGGGTTGGAGCTGCTGCTATGATATTCATCTGCTCCCCAAACCTTCCAGTTTGAATTTTGATGTTTTTACCACTTCAGTAATGTCTGATACTGAGTAGTTTTATGTCCTGGTCTGATATTGTTGGATGTGCTATGGTTGTGGTCATTACCACTGTTCTCATATACCATTGCCCCATAGAATGGTGCAGTAATGATGTGTTTTTGTAGGTTGACCCGGAAGTGAGCGTCGTGTCTCCCTACTCAGATTGGTGTGTCTTGGTGTGTACTGCACCGTTGTGTCTTTTCTGCCGTGCCGACACCTTCCGCCGCCGATTCGACATGTTGATTGGCTGTTCAGCTTAGCGAATCAGTGCATGAGAAGCGAAACGGAAGTGAGGGACCCAAACAAACTAAGAAGGCAAATCTGAGATTTAATTTAACTCCAGCTCTCGACACAGGTTCGGGAAAGCCCCATGAGCTTCTCGCTGTAGAGTGAAAATGGAACGCACACGCTATTTGTTGTTTGTATATATCACACAGTCTGTCTTCCGGTTGCCTCTTTTGAATGACGAATACACACTACCGACACCTGCTGGTAAGGAGATTTATTGCCAATCACGCATGCGCAGTTCGTACGTGCAACTTGGCCGTCGGCTGAAGTCTTTGCGGTGTGTTCCAGTGCGAAACATGGCCAAAACGCAGGACACGTGAGGCGACGTTCCGTCGGGACGTGTTCTTTGGTGTTCTTTGGTGTTCTTTGGTGTCAGTTTGGTGTGTAAGGAGTACACGTTTAGTAGTCTCATATAATCACTTGTTATCAACCGCTCTTTTCATGAAACTTCCGACATTCACCATCAGGGTCTTTAACCCTTTGGAGTCGACCGTCACGCCGGCGTGATCAGATCACATGACCTGTTCAAGCCGGTGCCGCATAAAAACAACAGTCCGCACAACATTGCCGTGTGTTTCTGTCGAAAGTACTGGCTTGAAACTATATGCCAGTCTTTGTTTCATGCAAAAAGACCCAGTAAACACGGAGATACGATGACATAAAGTTAATACAACTATATTTCAAAAGTATGAAAAATGGAAGCACATATTTTAATATCTTCGCCGTATTTTATCATTTTACAAAACGGAAAATACTGGAAACTGTAGATCCTGCTCAACAGGATGTATTTACCAGGGAGGAGGTGAGGTAATCAGGTAAACAGAGTGATACGTAACGAGACGAAGAGGGACGGCGGGAACCAAAGAGAGACGGCAGGGAATGGAGAGAGACGAAGATATACGAAGACGGGCGGCGGGAGACGAAGAGAGACGGCGATTGAAGTAAAGTGACAGACAAACATTGAGAATTTAGATATAGTTAGATAGATTTAGAGTTTTGAAGATTCAACTATGATGAAGAGAACTCTGAACGTGAGTCAAGCTATAAGCTTGTTTTTTGACATGGAGGAGGAGGAGCCTGTGATGTTGCCCTCGTGGCACAGATAAAGACAGAAAAAACTGATTTTTGTACATAATGTGTATATATATATATATATATATATATATATTTGTATTATATTTATAATAACACTTTTGCCTTATCAGAATGAAATCCAATGTACATTATTTAAGCTTTTAAATGTTTTGTTGTGCCTACTGTGTCACTGTTGACAGAACTTGAGAAATTAGGAAAAAAACGCCTATGGATACACCTGTTATTTGTTCATAAAATGTGTATATAGGTTCATGCTACCTCAATCAAACTTTCACATTATCATAGTGACATCCCATGTATATATTTCCAGCTTTCAAATTGTTTCGTTGTGCATGTTTGTGTTACCTATATAAAAAATAATATCATTTTCAAAATCCGTCCAAAATGTTCATATAGTATCTCAAAATGAAAAAAATAACTATCAGGTTATATAGGTGAGGTTGTCCTTAAAAAAAAGATACCAAACATTGACATGCCAAACATTTCTTAATGGGGTTTAGTAAGACAAATCAAAAGTATGCGAAAACGGCCAAATTAGCCCAGGACTCCAAAGGGTTAATGACATATTTTATATCGTAGAACCAAACTTGAAAATCTCTTACCATTGTGTTAACCACAGATCTAATTTCAGGCAACTAACCAAAAACCTTTTCAAAGAGCATATTGACTTCCAGACAGCAGAACAGGAAGTGCTAGAGTGGTGACTCTCTAAACCAGGGGTGGGGAACCTTTTTCCTCTCAATGTTGAAGTTAAAAGCATCAATCTGGTGCACTTTGAGAGCAAAATGAAGAGATCTATGGATACATCTCTCAACACCCATTTGAAACAGAACTGTAAGCAGATTTTATTTTTCTTTATGGATATTTTACAAATCACTCCCCTTTTAACCGTGAAAAAAAAAGCCCGATAAGCCCCGTAGCCCCTGCCGGCGGGGACTATGGGGTTTATCGGGCTTTTTTTTCACGAAACTGTCTCAGGGCTTCTTAAAATTAAATAAACTATGAATGGGGCGATTTTGGTGCAGTGGGTTAGAGCGTTGATCATCAGATCAAGGGGCGTTGGTGAACTCCAGTTCAAAACCCGCCTCGGCCGCCACTGCGTCAGGCCGTTGCGTCAGGCCGTTGCGTCAGGCCGTTGCGTCCTTGGGCAAGACACTTCACCCGAATTTGCTCCTGTGGGTAATGTCCACAGTAATGACTCTTACATGTCTAATATGTGTAATGTGTAATTGTAAAGCGCTTTGAGCACCTGCAAAAGCGCTCTAATAAAAAATGTGATGCATTATTATTATTATTAATGTGTCATACTCACTTAACGGGAAGAAACTAATGTCGCGTTTCCACTACACGGCCCCGCTCGGCCCCGCTCGGTATGGCTGGGCCTCGTTAGGACTGGCTCACTTTATGGCGCATTTCCATTACAGTTTAGGAACTGGGGCAGTATCTATAGTAACGCAGTGTAGGCGGAGCCGTGACGTGATCTTCAGAGGACCCCAGAAAAACAACACAGCCGTTAGCTGTTAGCACTCAGAGCTCACAGCTCCTCATATATGTTCAGAAACTAGACAAAAGTTAAACAAGTACAAACCACAGACTGCCTGTGTCATGGTGAATACAGTCGCTGCTTTATTTATGTCTGTATACGCCGTTGTTGTGAGTGTGGACGGTCGGGGCATATACTGCGTTAGCTTAGCCAATCTCCATTTAGAAAACAAGCATTTTAAAAGGTTTTTCCCCTGCCGTCTGTCTGCAGACTTGACAAAGCATTAATTCATGGTTTTTACTAACCGGTATCAGTATGTTGTTACTTCGGCATCATTTTGAAACGTGTATTACAATTAAATCACGGTCAAATATGTCCATCTTGTTGTAGTTGTTGCCCCCTTGCCAGCGACGCTCTCTCTAGTTTAGCATACTCAGCCCGACTCAGCCTCGTTGCCTCTGGCCCTGGCCCCACGATTTTATGAGGCCAGAAAAACTGTGAATTAGGACCCGCCGGCCGGTACTAGGCCAAGTGGAAACGCAACCAAAGACGGGCCGCTGACGTCACAGCCCTCTTAAACCGGGCTGCAGGCTGTAGTGGAAACGCGCCATAAGCTAACTGACGATATGAACCATTTTACCGAAACAAAACACAAGTCTCACAAGAAGCGTCTAAATCGGTGTTAATTTTGAGTTAGTTTAGCTATTTTTGAGTTAGTCTTAGTCTTTAGACCAAAATGGTTATTAGTTTTAGTCACATTTTAGTCATTTCTATCCTTCATAGTTTTAGTCTAGTTTTAGTCGACGAAAACTCAAAACGTTTTAGTCCAGTTTTAGTCGATGAAAAATTACATTTTAGTCAAAATGTTTTCTCTCTTTAAACCAATTCAGTTAGGCAAATACAGGTATCTGAAATTGGAATGAAGGTGACAGTATCAAGTGT